TGCCTGAAATACTACCTACTCAAGGAGGCTGAGATTTGAGGATCACAAGCCAACCCATGCAGGCAAGTTTGTGAGACTCTAATTTCAGGCCAAATAGCCTCAAAGTGCAGCTGTGGCTCAAGTGGTAGAGTACTAACTTTGGGTAAAAATGCTTGCAGTAAGCTCCTAGGCCCTGAGTTCAAGCCCTAGTACGGGCACACAAAAAAATAAAATAAAATACCGTATTTGTTTAATGACTGAGTAAATACTTTCATTTTATATTTACAGTCCAGAAGGGCTGGGAAGGTGGCTCAGTGGTAGAGTGCTTGCCTTGCATGCCTGAGGCCCTGGGTTCGATTCCTCAGCACCACATAAGCAAAAAGAAAAAAAGCCAGAAATGGCGCTGTGGCTCAAGTGGTAGAGCGCTAGCCTTGAGCTGAAGAGCTGAGGGACAGCGCCCAGGCCCAGAGTTCAGGCCCCATGACCGGACCCAAAAAAAAACAAAAAAACAAAAATACAGTCCAGAAAAGAAAATAACTCCTTTCTCTAAGACTGATCCAATTAAGCAGAGTACTGTATGACCACCTTAGACTATGAAGACAATCTGACAGTTCCACACCACAGCACACCTTTGACTATGGGCAGTGTTGTCACCACAGATCTGTGAAGAACATAAGTCATGAATGCTCAGACTGCTAACTTGGCAGAACCTCCAGCTAGCTTTGCCAGAAAAGACCAATACCAACAGTGCCAACCTGCTTATCTGATGAACCTACTATATACTGCTTTTGCTCTCCAGAAAAGGTAAAAACAGCATTTGAATAGCCAGACTACCTGACCCTCTCCAACAAATGATTACTATTTTCCACAAAATGTCTGACTCAGTTTAGCTAAGCCTCATTTCACATCTCTTGGTAGATTAAATATAGCAATTAGTCAATAAGAATGAATGAGAGAAGGAAAAAACTGTAAGAAGCAAGCACAATAATCACATTGGAGGAAGTGGCGCTGTGGCTCAAGTGGTAGGTACTAATATGATAACAAATATACTTTGATACAAAGAAAGCTAACACTCTGGTTACAGTAGTCTGTAAAAAGAAAGACTTACTTCAAAAATGGCTTAAAAGGGGCTGGGAAGGTGGCTCAGTAGTAGAGTGCTTGCCTTGCATGCCTGAGGCCCTGGGTTTCATTCCTCAGCACCACATAAGCAAAAAGAAAAAAGCTGGAAGTGGCGCTGTGACTCAAGTGGTAGAGCACTAGCCTTGAGCTGAAGAGCTGAGGGACAGCGCCCAGGCCCAGAGTTCGGGCCCCACGACCGGACCCAAAAAAAAAAAAAAAATGGCTTAAAAAAATTTTTTGTAAGGGGGCGGGGGAAGGCTGGGAAGGGATGGGAAGGGGAAACAAAGGAGGAGGCTACAATGCTTGATAAGAAATGTACTCATTATTTTGCCCATCTAATTGTAACCCCTCTGTACAGTATTTTCACAATAAAAAATAAAAATTAAAAAAAATTGTTGTAAGTAAGAACTAGGGTTTGAAATCATGGCTTCATAAGTAGTAGACAGGTGCTCTACCATTTAAGCCACACTTCCAGACATTTTTCTCTAGTCATTTTTGAAAAAGGGTTTTGATCTGTTCAGGCAGGCCTGGACCACAATCCTCCCGTTTTCATAGCTGAGAATTGACACATGCCACCAATCCAGCTTTTTCTACTGAGTTAGGATATCTCAATCATTTTCACCCAGGCTGACCTGGAACCACTATCTTCTCATAATCTTGGCCTCCTATATGGCTGGAATGACAGGTACATATCACTTCATCTAGCTACTGGTTGGGATAGGAGTCTCAAGAACATTTTCCCCACAGCTGGCAATTCTCCCAATCTACGTTTCCCAAATAGCTAGGATTATAGGTGTAAGTTACTCATTTTTGTGGCCAAAAATGGCAAAAAGTTTTAACATTTAGTGCTCAAGTTCACTTTAGTTACCTGGAAAACTTGCCAATATGAGACTGAGTAAATGAGATCTTAATAGAGCGTAACTTTAAATTTCTACTAAGGTCCTAGGGTAATCAACAATGTTTTTAGATGGGTCATAAAATTGCAGGTCTTTGACAGCCAACATAACCAGTTTCTCATAATACCTCACCATTCATTACCTAATATTCTAGGTTCTGAGTTATCTACCCAACTTTCTAGTTAGATCCCAAATGCCAAGGCTGTCTCATGTATGGTTGGATGGAATTAAGCATGTATATTTTACTACTCTCTCCAGGACAGTAGCCTTTGTAAAACCCAGACTAGCAGGCCCTTGCAACCACAAGAGGCCTGGGGTTGCAGCAGAAAGCAGGGGAAGCAAGGCAAGGCAGAAGCTATGCTGAAAAAGAACATCTCACCACTGGCTCAAAGAAGAGCAGGATGACAGCTTTTGTGTTATTTTTGAACAGTTTGTGCTGATGAAATTTTTGTTGTGGTAACATTCCTCTAAAAAGAACATTTTCTTCCTTCCCTCATTGACAAAGCAATTCAACAGAATGTGAAAAAAGGAGGAGTGGATGACAAAGATATCCAGGCATTTATAGATCTTGGATTATATCACTTTTTTAACCGTTGTGCTATCCCTTACCATCCTAGGGCAATGCCCTGGAGCAGTGATTAGGACACCTCTAGGTTTCACTCCCCATCAAACATGACTATTCTTCACAAGGACAAAACAAATTTTGACTCCCTTTGGAGGCCAATGACACTCCTAAATATAACCAGAAGTTCAGATACTTTTTTATTTGTGCCAGTACTGAGCTTTGAACTCAGGGCCATCCACTCTCACTTAAGCTTTTCTACTACTTGAGCCACAGCTCCACTTACAGCTTTTTGTGAGTTAACTGGAGATGAATCTCAGATTTGCTGCCCAGGCTAGCTTCAAATTGTGATCCTCAAACCTCAGCCTCCTGAGGTGGCTAGGATTACAAAATTCAGATACTTTTATAGTGGTGGTCATTCTTGTTCAAGAACTTATTATTGACTGTCTCAACAAAAGTTTACATATTTCAACCTGGTTTCCTGGGCTATACTTTAAATATTCTGATGATTTTTCTATCACAGTCTTTCTAACTAAAACAACTCACCATACCATCACTATACCTTTGTTCACACTGGTTCTTACTCAGCTAGACTTACCCATTCTATTCTATCTCTCTCCTTAAATTCCTTATACATTACATGTTTCATCCTAACAGAAGAATTCCTTCTGCTGACCAGTTAATGGAGTTCTGTTTTCTATTTGCCCATCTTCAATGACAAGTAGCTCAATATTTAATAAAGAAGCTTCTCCTATAACGAATTGCTCTAAGTATTAAGCAATTTTTTTATTTTAGAAGACTACTATGTGTGCTTATTACTTTCCCCACTTGGATTTGCCCTAAGAATAAAAGAAACAATATAGCAGAACTTAAACAGATGGACTTTGAATTCAGATCTAAACTCACATCCAGCATTTCCTTAAACAAAATGCTTAGTATTGCCAAGATTCCTTTCCCTGGTAATGAAATCAACTTTATAATATGTTAAGAAAACTGGATGACAATATGAAAATGCTTACTACTGTCTGGCCTATGAAGATGTATCTTGTTCCCCAGACCCTCCCTCTCTGTCCTCTCCTGGCTGCCAGGAGATAAGCAGCTTTTCTTTGCCATGTGCTCCAGCCATGATGATTCTGACTCACCACAGGCCCAGAAACAATGAAACCAACCGACCATGGCTGAAACTTTTAAAATTATATGCCACAATGATCCCTCCTCCCCCTAATTTACTTTTCTCATAAGTTGTTTTTTTCATAAAATAAAAAAAACTAACAGTCTCCTTCAGGCTCAACTTTCTTCTCTAGACCATAAAATGCATGAAGACATATATATTTGTCTGTTTCTACCTAGTACAGTAAGTGGCACATACATAATACTTAATAATACTTAACTATGCTGAATGCTCTTGATAACATACTTTCATACTCTTCTTCATTTATGTTACCTCTCTATGTATAGTCCTTGCAATTCTAAATCCTTCTGACAATGTGACATCCAAAACTCAAAGGTATAGCCAGCAAAGGTGAGAGACTCTTTGTACACAGTATGTCACTGTGAAGATTTGGCATAACTTGGAAGCTTCACCAAATGGCTTGTTCCTGTTGTGCTTGAAATCATGAAACCTTTCAATCTTTTCACAGAATAACAGAGCTTTACCCATTCAGAGATTACTCTAGTTCCTTTGGTCTATCTGGACCAGTCAAACTAGCTCCTGCAACTATATCTCCAAAGTAAAGTATGAAGCTCCCGTAGGTGGGATTTGTTTTGCTTTTTTTCCCCACATGCCAACATAGGCTGAATAGAGACTGAAACAGCAGGATTACACCACAGATCAGAGAGGTTAGTGTGGTGGCTCATCCCTACAATACCAGCTACTAGGGAGGCAGAGACTGGAAGAATCACAGTTCAAAAGTCAGCAAGACTTCAACTCAAAAAGGAAGGTGGCACACGCTTGTCATCTCAGATATGAAGGAGGTTGTAGAACTCAGGATTGAGGTCTGAAGCTGGTCCCAAGCCCCATACCATCAAAAAAAAAAAAAGTGAAACCCTACCCAAAGGATAACTAAAGCAAAAAAAGGGCTGGGGCTATGGCTCAAGTGATAGAGTGCTTGCCTAGCAAGTATGAGGCCCTGGATTAATAACTGTTTTTGTTTTTTTTTTAACTAAGGAAATTATAGGGAACAGCTCAGGAAAACTCTCTCCCAAATAACATGGTAGTCAGTGTAATGGTACTAGCCAGTGGGCACAGACAAAAACACAAGACTGCAGTCTGCCTGGCTAGCTCTTAAGAGAGCTATTCTGCTGAGAGCCACCTTGCCCAGTGGGAATGAGTTCCCAGAGAACAAGCCAGAAGAGCGCATCTTCCCAGAGGGAATACTCCAGGCAGCTTTCAGGGATTGTTACACACATGAAGAGAAGAGAGACAAGGCAAGTAAGAAGTTCACCTCATCACTTTCTTCCACATCCACATCACCATTGGCATCATCATCCATCAGCTTGTGGATGTTGCGGACTGCTTCAAAGCTTAGCTTCTCATCCTCACTGTCACACAGGGGCTTGTCAATCCGGCAAAATTCTGTACAAGAAAAGGGAGATAAAACATTACTCAGAGGGAGGGGGAGGGAAGGAGAGAGGGAAGGATGGAGAAAGAGAGAAAGACAAAGCAAGGTCAGGTTAAAGCTGTGAAGGTTAGACCTGAAATACCCTGATCAATTTAATGATTTACTTGTCTGCCTGCCAGAGACAACAGCAGGACAGGACAGGTCACATCTCTTGCCATATGTTCAAAGTCTTTTCAAAATAAGAAAGGGATATAAATATTACATTGCAAAGTGCGGCATATATGACTGTATAGAAGTATGCTGCTGAATGCTGAAGCTCAAAGATATCAAAAACAAACTGTGCCTAAAGTCAAAGAGCAGAAGATAGTCAGAGAAAGTTAAGGTCTGCTCACCCTCATGCCAGCACTTCATCTGTCTTTTTGTTCAGGTTACCAGACACTTTTGGTTACTTTTACTTTTTGTTTGTTTAAAAAAAAAAGGATTAAGTGCTGTTTTAGTTAAATGGTGAGTTACAGTATATATCAAAGAAATACTCTTCTTTGCAGTTCAGAGATTGATTATACAATACTTTTTATGTCTGATATTGAGCTTGAAGTCAAGGTCTTGAGCAATGGCTCTTACTCAAGGCTGAGGCTCTACCACTTAAGCCACTCCTTCAGTTTGGCTTTTTTTTCTGGTTTTCAGGAGTTTTCTGCCTGGACTCTCTTCAAACTATGATTCTCCAGGTCTCGGCCTCCTGAGAAGCTGGGATAACAGGCATGAGCCTACTGGTGCCTGGATCCACAGCACTTAAAGAGAATTGCATATTTGCACAGTTATGAATTCTGGAAGCCTAAGATCAGGATGACAGCGCTATTGAGTTCTGTGAGGAATCTCTTCCTAGACTGCAGAGTCCACCGCAGCCTTCCTTCAGGCTCTGTATGAGGAGGGGAGTTGCAGGGCGAGGGGATGGGGGGGAGAGGAGGAGGAGGAGGAGGAGGAGGAGGAGGAGGAGGAGGAGGAGGAGGAGGAGGAAGAGGAGGAGGTGGAGGTGGAAAAACAAGGAGGAAGAGGCAGAGGCAGGAAGGGAGGGAAGAAAGAGGGAAGAAAGAGGGAAGGGAAGGTTAGGGAAGGGAAGGTTAGGGAAGGTTAGGGAAGGGAAGGTTAGGGAAGGGAAGGTTAGGGAAGGTTAGGGAAGGGAAGGTTAGGGAAGGGAAGGGAAGGGAAGGGAAGGTTAGGGAAGGTTAGGGAAGGTTAGGGAAGGGAAGGTTAGGAAAGGTTAGGGAAGGGAAGGTTAGGGAAGGTTAGGGAAGGTTAGGGAAGGGAAGGTTAGGGAAGGGAAGGGAAGGTTAGGGAAGGGAAGGTTAGGGAAGGTTAGGGAAGGTTAGGGAAGGTTAGGGAAGGGAAGGTTAGGGAAGGGAAGGTTAGGGAAGGTTAGGGAAGGGAAGGAAAGGGAAGGGAAGGGAAGGGAAGGGAAGGTTAGGGGAGGGGAGGGGAGGGGAGGGGAGGGAAGGGGAGGGGAGGGAAGGGAAGGGAAGGGAAGGGAAGAGGAGAAGATGAGGAGGAGCTGGTTTCATCTTCTAGAAACCACAAATAATAAAGCAGAGGAAAATACAAAAACAAGCCAAGGGGCTAGGAAGGTTGCTCAGTGGTAGAGCGCTTGCCTTGCATGCATGAGGCCCAGAGTTCAATTCCTCAGCACCACATAAGCAAAAAGAAAAAAGCCGGAAGTGGCGCTGTGGCTCAAGTGGTAGAGCACTAGCCTTGAGCTGTAGAGCTGAAGGACAGTGCCCAGGCCCAGAGTTCAGGCCCCACGACCGGACCCCCCCCCCCCCAAAAAAAAAAAAACAAGCCAAGTATGGTAGTTCATCCCCATAGTCCCAACACTCAGGAGGCTGAGACAGGCCAGCCTGAGCTACATAACAAGACCCTGCATCAAAAAAAGAACTCAGGGTTGAAGATGTAGCTCAGTGGTAAAGTAGTTGACTTAGTATATACAGGGCCTTCCCTAGGTCTGATTTCCAGCATGGCCAAAAAAAGAATATAAAATAAAAAAGTAAGATGAATTTGTGTGTATGCAAAAGGAATGTCACTATGTGATAGGTGGGGTGAACGAGATGCTGAGGGAGAATGACAGAAGGGGTGACACACTGACATATTGAATTACAACCCCTTTGTACAACTATTTAAAGATAAATTTTAAAATGAATTTTTTATAAAAAGAAATATCATCAAATTTCTTCTAAATTTGTCTTGCTAAGTTGGATAGGGGTGAAATGGAGGTTATCTCTTAGATTCATTTGCAAAAGGAGAATAATAAGATGCCACAAAGGATTTTTGTGAGAATTAAGTAAAAGTGAATAGCTGTTCTTAAAACACCTAACACAGAACCTGTACAAAGTTAACATTCAAAATATCCCCAGTATCTTTCTTTCCCCTCAGAGAAGCAGTGAACAGTTTGTATCTTCTATTAATGCTAGCCATTTCCCTTGACTATAAAGAAGCAAGTACAGGAAGTTTTTAGTTCAATCAAACTGACATATAGTCTCAATGAGCAGAGTCTTTGCAAGACTCTGACAATAAATAGCCTGAATTTTCATATTTAAGTGCTATAACGGGTAATATCACATTGTATTATAATTGTCTGTTCAATGTATCATCACCACCAAACTGTAATTTCCACAAATTAGGTTTGGGCCCGGGGCCCCAGCAGCAAGCAAAAAGCCAGGTTCTTGGTAAATTCTCTGTAATTTTTTAAATGACTGCCTAACATATCAACTCTACAATCATATATATGATTTTCTAGAGCAAAAAAGAGAACAATTCTAGGCAAAAAAGGACAACATAAGCCTATGGTTTTATTTTTAACTTTTTGGTCTCAAGATTCCTTTATACACTTGAAAATTTTAATCTCAAAAAACTTTTTAGAAGGGCTGGGAAGGTAGCTCAATGGTAGAGCACTTGCCTTGCATGCCTGAGGCCCTGGGTTTGATTCCTCAGCACCACATAAGAAAAAAGAAAAAAGCCGGAAGTGGCGCTGTGGCTCAAGTGGTATAGCACTAGCCTTGAGCTGAAGAGCTGAGGGACAGCGCCCAGGCCCAGAGTTCAGGCCCCACAACCGGATCCAAAAAAAAAAAAAAAAACTTTTTGGAAGCTGGGGCGCTGGTGGCTCACTCCTGTAATGCTAGCTACTCAGGAGGCTGAGATCTGAGGGTCATGGTTCAAAAGCCGGCCCAGGAAGAAAAGGCCATGAGCCTCTTATTTCCAATAAACCACTGAGAAAACTGGAAGTGGCACTGTGGCCCAAGTGGTAGAGTGCTTATCTTGAGCTGAAGAGCTAAGGGACAGCACCCAGGCCCAGAGTTCAAGCCCCATGACTAACAAAAAATCAAAAAACAAAAAAACTTTTTGGTAACTTATCATATTAGAAATTAAAAGATTGTTTTTGTGTGGGTTATGGGGGTAATTGCAGGACCTCACACTTGCTAGGCCAGTGTACAACTGTCAAGTCATAGCCCTCCGTTATTTTTTGCATTGGTTGTTTCTGAGATAGGGTCTCACTTCCTGCCCAGGTTTATGACTGCACTATAGTCCCCCAATCTCAGCCTCCCACATAGATAGGATTACAGGAGTGAGCCACCAGAAACCAGCTTAAAACAATTTTATATTTAATTGTTAATTCATTTTATAACAAGTCTCTAAAAAATTCAGATAAAAATAGTATGTTTATAAAAACAATTATTTCCTCGGGGGGGAAAAAATCACAAGAAAAGTGGGATTATTTTATATTTTTGTAAACTCTTTTTAATATGTGGCTTAACAGATGACAGCTATAGTCATCCTCTTACATATTCAATCTGTTGGGTATTGTTTTTATTCAAGATTAAAACACAGATGGGGCAGTTGAAAAGGGGAGACACATTTCAAATAGCCTTTTCAGAAAAGTCTTGTTATTCTTCTTTGACAGGATATCGAAATGTGACAAGGGATCAAGGTTAGGTTAACTAAAGATTAGTTGAGACGTGAAATCTGAAACTATGTACATGAACTTTCTGTACTTTGTAATATTAAAATCCAATACTAAAATCTTATACTTTGAATGAATCTTTTATATATCAATGTGTTTTTTTTTTTTATTTTTCTTTCTTTCTTTCTTTCTTTATTTTTTTTTTTGCCGGTTGTGGGGCCTGAACTCTGGGCCTGGGCACTGTACCTTAGCTCTCCAGCTCAAGACTAGCACTCTACCACTTGAGCCACAGCATCACTTTTGGCTTTTTCTGCTTATGTGGTGCTGAGGAATCAAACCCAGGGCCTCATGCATGCAAGGCAAGCACTCTACCACTGAGCCACCTTCCTAGCCCATATCAATGGTTGTGTGACATGATGCTCAGGTCATTTGGAAACTATTGGTTCACTGAGTTATGTAAAGCACCCAAATGTTGACACATTTTATTAAGACAATAGCAAAGTAATCATAGTTATTAGTATCACTACAGATTTCACCAGAAAAGCTTTTAATCCAGGGAACTTGTCAAACTCAAAGTAACAGATACAAATCCTCCAAAATTTAATTTGCACTTACAAGACAGAATCTTATCACTGGCCACAAATACTGTCAAGATGTTTTCCTTAAAGCAAAACATTCATTTCATTCACTTTCAAGATGACTGCTAAACATCTAAGTATGAATAACCATAATTTTAAGCTGTTTTTTCAAGTAGAAATAGTGTTCCCTGGAAATTGAAGTGGTTCCATTTATAATCCAATAGCACAAGTGTTTTTCCTTGAGATAACATCAAACTGCTTCATGCAGCAGTGTTGTGTGTACTTCCTATTTCATCACACAGAATATCTAAAGGCATGTACTCATGAGATACAATTTAATATAATAAATAGTTTGTTACTTGTGACATTAGTAAAAAAATATATTTTTGTCTTCATTCCCATTTCCTGGCATACCACTCTTAAAATCCTTGGCATCTATGAAGTGACAAATGGCATCTCTGTTCAGGAATGAAATACTGCTGGTTGGCTG